CACCCCACCGTATCCTTTAAAGCAATTAATTATTAATACTGACATGCAGCAGGGAAGTGCCAGCCTGAGCAGGAGCGGTGAGGTGGAATGTGCCACATGAATTGCTTTTACTAATATGACAAAGATCCTTAACACAGACTATAAGTAATTAGAACTAGGCCCGGAGTGAGCCAATCCTTATTTAACAGATTCAGCTTTAAAATCAGAACATGATTCCCAGAGGGGAACAAGGCTTCCTGTGAGGTCGGTTTCCCTGCAGCTGGCTCTCCTAGGAATTGTTTGGTGCGGGGCACACTCTGTCCACAGCCTTCTCGCCACCAGTTCCAAGGTGACGTGACACTGTCCAATGTGTTGCAAGTCTGAGGAGTCACTGGGTCCTGGCTGGCTGTGACAGAGGCCCAAAGGCCCAAACACTGCCCGGAATACACAGCAGCTCTTCTCACTGAGCCACAGAGATTCCCTACATTTATATGTCGTTTGATATATATGTTGAAAAATAAATGTGGTTCCTTAGGTACTGGGCCTGTTTTAGCAAGAGGTCAGTGAGCCATTTTAGGTGTGTTTGATGTCATCTTAGATACCTGGGCCAGGGGCTGGAGAACTAGCGCCTGATCACACCCAGCACTCACCCAGCTCTGTGACTTTGGGCAGACTGGCTCCCCCTCTGAGCTTTCTCACTTGCAGAATACTGAGGGATGTGCTCCATCAGAGATCAGCCAACTTTTTCCAGAAAGGCCTATATAGTAAGTTTGAGGCTCTGCAGGCCAACAGGTAAAATCAAGAATATTATGTAGGTACTTATATAATCACTTAAAATGTAACCATTAGCTCTTGGGCCAGAAAAAAAAAGGGGGGGTGGGGGTGGGGAGACAGCCACGGGCCACAGTTCACTAATTCCTGAGCTAGAACATCTGTGACATTCCCTCTAACCCTCGAAAGCTGTGAAAGGTATTCCTGTCCCCAGGTTCCCTTTCTCACTGTGCAAGACCCGAAGCTGCAGTCCTGGAATCTGACCCTCTGAGTGCTGCTCAAGCCCAGTTTTCTCGTTCTATAAATGAAGAACATAAGGCTCCAAAAGGTGGAGTGTCCTGTCTGTGGTCAGCTGCCTGAGGAGGAGCTGAGGCCAGAGCTCCCAGGTCCCCACTGTATCCAAGGCAGCAGCCTGAAGCGCTGTTACCACAGTTATTAGTAAAACCAGAAGCTGTCCCCCGCTCCGCGGAGGCTCCGAGATCCTGCATTCGGCCGGGGGAGACTGTGGGTGACGTTAAATGGAAAAGTCCAAGAGAACCAAATATGTGCAGTGTTAAGATGATGCTTAAAACAATGTTTTGTCTGAGTCCCTTCTGACTCAGGATATTAACCACTTTGTCTGTATTTGCATTAAATTGTTGAACTGCAATTCACTTTATGATATGTTTTCAATGTTAAGCAAACAAAGCAGGAATTTTAAAAGTTGTACATACAAGATGAGGACAATCACGGTGACATTCAAATGGGGGGATTGAGAAAAAAAAAAAAAGCAGAGAGAACTCGTGGACATGGACAAAAGTGTGACTGTGGGCGGAGGGGGATGGGTGGAGGTGGAAGAAGGCATAGAGGGGACAAAAGGTGACGGGGAAAATTACATTAAAAAAATAATAAAGAATATGCCTGTAAACAGTAAAAAATTAAAATGCACAGCAAAGGAAATTGCTAACATTAACATTGACTGCCTCTAGGAGATAGGACAATCTGGAAGGTGATTTTTTTTCTGCCTATTTATGTTTATTTTGTATTTTCTAAAATTTCTAGAAGATGATAAATTTGTTTTATAATAAGAAAATACAAACAAATAGGAATCACAAACCCTGTGGCAGGGACAAGTGCAATTAGAGCTGGAGCTAATTGGTCAGCATTACCAGGCAGCAGTAACCACAGAGGAACGTGGCTCCACAGGATTCATTAATAGCTCCTACTATCTGATGGATTATAACACAAAAGAAATTCCAAAAAGACTAGTCCCTGAGCCAAAGGGAAGAAATGACTTAGCACATAGGGAAAATGGCAGGGAAGGAAGACACTGACATAATAAAAGGAGGGTAAATCTGAGTCATGGCCATGGAATTTCCATAAAGGGAGGAAGGGGAGGAGAATTTTCATATCAGATAAGCCCGGAGGAGACCAGGGGGAGCAGAGCGGGCGAAGGAATTCACAGTCTGCGTAACCATAGCAGCCTTGGGCTGTCACCCTTCACCAGCGCGGGGACTGGAGCAGCTGTGCGTGTGTGGAAGGCCCTCCCATGGGCAAATGCAGTTGGCCCCACAAGTGGCCTCTTACGTGCTGGGGTGGAGGGTGGGTGAGGTCAGGAGTAAGGCGTGCTTGAAGGCTGAGGGCAATACTCCTTTTATCTGCTCAAAATGCCTTCACAGTTTCACTTACAGACTTTCGAGGGTTTCCCGATGCCACCTTAACCTGTTAGGGCCAAACACTGTGCAGGACCCTTTAAACACCCCACTGCCCCTCCCATGCACAGGGAGCCACACCTATGACTCACACACACCAACATTCACAGGGAGAGTGCTACAGAGTGGCTTGGGAGAGTCAGTTTTACCACCTCCTTAATTTCCATCTGTTCTTTGATATAGACATTTTCTCAGTCACACACAGTGCAGTTCGAGCCTCTCTCCACCCAACCACGTTGCCATCCGCAAGACACTCTTTTGTAGAAGTTCTTGTGTTTCCATTACGCTGGTAGGAAGGTGTCAAACATTTTCAACTCTTATTTAGTCTTATCTACCAAGGGGAAGAAAGTATGGTGTCCTGCCTGCTTAATTCTGCCAGCCTGTGCCACTGCTCTGGTAGATAGGTTGATCTTCACTGGGCGTTCAGTAATCTCCAACTAGCAAGTCTCACATGATTAGTTTCATTCTCTCTACCATGACCCAGCATTTTTCCATAATGAAAAATACACTCCACCAATAAACCAAGTAAGCATTTTCCTACCTACACTATGAAGACCCTACTCTATTTTGCATGTGGATTTATTCAGATAAATGACTCCTTAAAATGCAATTCTCACCCAGAGCAATTCCCACCCTCAATGTTTTCTTCTCCCAAATCTTTCAAAAGCTCTAAGCGGCAGTTTTCAACAGTTTGCCAATCTCATCCAAAGTTCTCCACAGCACTAATCTACTCAGATTCTGTAACTGAGCAACTTAGGGATAACCCTAAAATCTTCCCTGTTGCCTAGTGGTGCCTAGGAACTGATTTTGTTTTCTCTCTATCAAGACACAGCCGACCTCAGAGCTAATCCTCCAGCTGTCATGTGGGTGAGGGGGGTCACACGCTCTCCCAGAATGCCACTGGGCCCCTCTGGGCAATCATGCTCTGCCCAGCTATTTTTGAGAAACTTGAAGTTCTGGGAAGAACAGAAGACTCATGTCAGACAAATGGGGGGTGCTGACCCTGGAGAGTCATGGTCAAGAAAAGATGCCACCACCAGGGCTCTCATGTGACACTGGGCAGGACCTTCCATGACTTCACAGATGTGGGGCCTCCAAGGATCAGGGTAAGACGTTCATGCTTCTCCCAGCCTGATTTTTTTAAAATTCCTAATCAGACGACTCCTTTAATAGGTCTCACACTGCCAACCTTAACCTTTTTATGAATCCAGTAGCCAGAATGTGTGATTTGAAATTCTCCCAAATAAGAATCTGAGCCACCATATAGAGATGGAGAACAGAGACGTCAAAAGCGAGCGGTGCTGTCCTGCCATCCGTGTCTCCTTCACTCCGTGTTTGACATTCAGTGCAGCAATGCGCAGTACCTTCCTAAACAAGAGGTATTTCTGACATCTAAACAAAACCAGTTTTGCCACCGACTCCCCGTGTGATATTGCCTTAAGCCCTCCTGTGTCTCAAGTGTCTCATCTTAAAGAGGTTGAAGTCTTTTCACTCTCAAAGTCTGGGAGACGTGGCAAAACCCGGACAGGAGTCCGCAGCTGCATGTCTGCCATGTAATCAGTGACCCCATCTCGACAGGTCTGCAGCTTATTAGCTTGAACCCCCGGCCTCCTCCTGAGCCCCTCTCTCACTGCCTCAGTTCACTTCTTGTTTATCTATTCCCTGGCCTAGTGCAATGGTTCCTGTTTGGTCTCCGCACCTCCAACCCAGTGATTCTCAACCAGGGAGTTAGTTTGTTCTCAGGGGACATCTGGCAATACCTGGAGACATTTTTGGTTGTCAGGACTGGTGGGGTACTACTGGCATCTGGGTAGAAGCCAGGGGTACTACTAAACATTGTACAATGCATGAGCCAGCCCCCAACAAAGAATTATCCAGCTCAAAAGGTCAATACTGCAGAGGTTGAAAAATTGCTCCAGTCATACCCACCTCCCATCTGCCCTCTGCAACCACAAGTGATACAGAACACAATTCCAATCAGCTTATTCCCATGCTTGAAATCCTCCAGGGCCTCCCAACTGCCCTCAGGTTAAAGTCTAAACTCTCCAAGTCATGTGAGACCATCACAATCTGGCCCTTTTCTAACCTTTTGCCTCACCTCTCACTGTTCCCCTAACCCCTCTTCCCCAAAGCCACACAAACAACCAATGCAGGTGGACCAGGCCGCCCATAACTCCCTGTGCCTGCCAGTCTCATCCATTCATTCCTCTGCCTACCAGTTCTATGTCAGACATCCTAATAGTGCTAAAAGGGAACTCAGTTTTAAGTAGCCACACACGGCTAGTGGCTACTATATTGGGCAGGGCAGGTCTAACGCTACTACTGCTTTCAGATGTAATTTTAGGGATATTTGTACCAGTGAACTCTCTCCAGGAGAAACTGATAGAACTCTCAGTACAACGCAGTCTTCCAGCTGCAAACAGCTTACTTACTAAAACCACAGTTTATGATTATTCCAACCCCTGCCCCAACCACTGCCCAACGTACCCAGGACCGGTGCCTCGCTCATCCCCCCAGGGCCAGCCTGCGACGGTGGCCCGCGGAAGGACACGTACTTACCCTCACCCAGGGGAAGGTCCTCTTCCTGCTCGCTGGGGGGAGGCAGCAAGGGCTGCAGGGGCTCCATGTTGATGATGAGCTGTTTGTTCAAGGAGTGGGAACTGCGGCTCTGGGTAATGTTGGCTCTGAAAACAGACAAGCCAGATGGAGTCCGTTTCTATTGCAAACCCCAGCCTCCATGTCGGTCGGCTCTGCAAGCTGGGAACTGCCTCTGGACTCTCACAGTGGGTGAGGCCAGTGAAAGACCACATAACACCCGAGACACATGGTCCTTTTTATCCTTAAGGCCCTGACAAAATGTCCGTGTGTTCTAATGCAACACAGTGAAGAAAATGTATTTCCCCATATGTCACCAGACCAGGGCATGCTAGATGACAGCACAGGCATCTGAAAAAGGCATGAAAGGCAAGTATCGTTGAGCTAGACAGAAAAGTGATGAAAGGGCATGGCTCAAACTAATTTAACAACCACCAAAAAAACACCAAAAAAAAACAAAACCAAAAATCCTCTACCGGGCAGATGGCACAGATGTTCCATAGCTACGAGCTATTGTAGTGTCACTGGATGTCCAATGTTTAATATGAATGTTAACATCCCCATTCAAATTCCTGCCCCAGACCCCAGCCGGCCACAGAATCCAGCTCTGTTTTCTTCTGAAAAGATCACACACATGTGTCAGTGGCTATGACAGGCAGCAGATGGCAAGGCAACCATGCAGATGTCTCATCGAGACTATTGGGAGGCAGCTGGGAAACCCATATACACTGCCTGCTGCAGGAGACAAGCTGTCTGGCCTGACAGAGAGGGAGGGGGCACTCTGATGGGTGTTTGAGCCCCCCTCCCCATGTTTCCCTTCAAAACCAAAGCCAGCCTATCCTTCAAAGACAGTGTCAAATGTCTCCTTCCCCTTAACGCCCTCCTGGACTGGCCTCACAGTACACTCTCTTTTTCTCATTGACACCCCTTCTCTTACAACTTGCCACAATTGGTCACCAGTCCCTCTGCAGTTACGGGTGTACTCCTCATGGGCCCCACCTTGATAAGCTCCTTAAGGGCAGAGGCTGACCTATCCATTCCTGTCTGCCTTAGAGCACCTCGAGTGGCACCCTGAAGGGATGTTCAGGTTTAAAACTAACTGCAAGCCTGGCTTGACATAATTGCCATTTTGGACTGGCCAGAGTGTCCCTCAGGCTAGCTGACAGGACTGCCTGATGCCCCGGGCGGGAGTTCTGTGGGGAGGGGAAGATCAGGATGCCTGTTAGCATCTCGAATTGAAAAGCCCCCGCCCCCCAGCAGGCACTGGCTGGAAAGGAAATTTGTGAGGACCTGCTTAACCATGGGGTCCTTTTCTTCATTATTGCATTCTATAATTACTTATTTTGTAGTATGTGTGTATTGGACAGTCTGCCTTGTTCTGAGGAACTGTGATCCTGGCTGTAAGTAACTCACTCTCTAGAACCATGTTTTCAAACCTTTTTGACTGAGACCCACATTAAGAAATACATTTTAATTCACCTCTGTACGTACAAATACCTGCACACACTCAGGAAGACGCACAACTGAAGTGAATGTTTCACGCAGCAATCGTAGCTATTACTGTGTGTGATTCATTGGGGTTTTTTTCTATTCTATTTCATTTTGTTTAAAGTGCTGGTCTTGACCTCTATTTCCACTTCATGACTCACTCATGTGCGACAGCCACAACTGAGAAAGCACACATCTCATGGAGGAGACTGGTGGCCAAAGGTCCCGTGGGAACACCAAGGAAGGGCGCCTGATGCTGCCGCGAGGGCAGGCGGGACCGACCTCACGAGGCAGGCGACGCCTGTGGGAGTCCTGGCAAGCCTGGTGGGCTTACAGGGGAAGGAGTGGAGATGCGGATTCCTTGCAGGGAGAAGGTAGGAAGGAAGGAGGAAGGAAGGGAGATTAAAATTCCCCATGCGCACTTTCTTCTCCTGTGAAGGGTTCTCATTTCAAACCCAGACCCTCTGATTGCTCGCCCTGGGCTTTTGCTGTGCCCCACACAGCCTTTCCGCATGATTTTTCCTGCAATGCCCCAGAGGGAACTCCAGCTGCTACCCCTGATGTCCTGCCATCTGGGGCCGTCCAAGGTCTCACTGTGTCAGGCAGTTTTCTTAAGGGTGGGCCGACATCCCAATCAGCTCCCGCTGCTCCCTCTAACCTGAGTTCCTCAGATAACAGCCTCTTTTTTTTTTTTTTTAATATATCTTTATTGATTTCAGAGAGAGGAAGGGAGAGGGAGAGAGATAGAAACATCAATGATGAGAGAGTCATTGATCCGCTGCCTCCTGCATGCCCCCGGCTGGGGATCGAGCCCGCAACCCGGGCATGTGCCCTGACCGGGAATCGAACTGCGATCTCCTGGATCCTAGGCAGCCGCTCAACCGCTGAGCCACGCCTGGCCGCGCATGATAACAGCTTCTAAGGCTGGGGTGTCCCCAGGCCAGGCGAGGGTCTACACTGTTTCTCCACTCTCACCATCCACCCGTCAGCTGACTATGCAAATATGCCTAGTACACGTGTGTACTCCGGGCATAGAACAGTTTCCACATGAGACTGTCATCAAGTACTCTATTGAGGTAGAAAGGTTTCCTTGGGGAACTGCAAGCGTATTCTAAGTTGGTTTTAGAAAATGATGGTATAAAATACAGTGACTAAAATGAGGCTCATGGAACCCCTGCACCACTCCTTGGCCTGAGAGAAGTGCCGCTGGCCCGATCTCAAAACTCCGTCTCAGCTGACTTCAGTGTGAACATGTCTGTCAGCTTCCAGTTCTCCGTTTTTGGATGAGAGACGATAATAATAATACCACCATCTCACATTTTATGGCCTTTTATAGCTTTTAAAGCACTTTATTTTAATCCTCATAACAAGCCTAGAAGTTGGCAAAGTAATATTATAAATCTCATTTTATAGATGAGTAAACTTAAACTGATGATCTGAGAAGTTCAGTGACTTACCCCAGACTCACAGATGGTAAACACCACAGCCAAGATTAGAGCCCATTCGCAGACTCCTCGTCAGGTGCTCATTTTAGGTCCAAATGCTACTTCTGGGTGTCCCCTGGCGGTGGCCACTATGCCTGGGTGGTTCACACAGTCCTCCCTGAGCTCACCACAGAGCAAATAACTCAGAATGAAGCCTAGTTGCGCTCACGCTACGGCCCAGCCAAATCTGTCCGAGAGGGATTCCCGGGACAGTGAGAGTGCCCTCCTGGAACCAGGCCCAAAAACCGCATAGAGCCTGGCAGCGGTGCCCTTACACCCTTTCCTGTCCCTTGGCAGAGCCAGAGTTTGAATCCCTCTGTCCATCCCAGAAGCCTCCCGGGACCCTGGGGAGCACCCTTACCTGTGCACCGCCGGCGGCTCCCTCTGGATTTTGGAACTTGCCTCCACCACCTCTTTGGCAACCTTCCCACTGCAAGAGACAAAAACAGGCGTGTGTGCACAGACGCTCCGAGTGAAGGGGAGGGGTGCACGTGTATTTCCTTTAAACCTGCCGCTGGTCTGACCCAGCTCCCCACACCTTCTCTCCCTCCACGAGGGGAAGTTACTATGGAGCCGGAGGGTGCCCATGAGCATAAAAGATGAGTGAACTGAAAAGACGGGACCAAAATAGGGGTGTGAGCCAAAGCGCACTGATTTATAAGCAAACGTTCCAGTGGAAATGCCTGCCCCACCCCAGCCCCATCATCAAAATGGAACCATAGGTACCCACCTATATCGGAATCTGCTTCCTTTAAAAAATATCTTGCTGCTCGACACAGTCTTGATCTGACTGGATTTGGCATACCTTTAAGAAAAAACAAAGCAGTGGTAGGGACATTAGAAAGTCCAAGTGGACACACTATGAAGTGTAGCTAATCAGGTACTTTTGACTGCCGGAAAGAAAGGCATTTTATTGTGTGAGTCGGCGCACACACAAACCTGAAAGAAAAGTCTCCCAAAATACTTTCACTGTATTTACAATCTGATCCTTTCCATGTTCTCTCTTTTCATTCTTTTTAAATATTGGCAATGACCCATACGTTTGGTCTCATAATCTGTTACTGGGTCACAACCTGCAAAAAGGACAGGGGCCACACACAGGGCACTGAATTACTGTGACAGCTGAGGGTGCCTCTACACCGGTCACTCTAAGCCTTACGCAATTAAATCCAACAAGTTAGAAAGAACAGTCTCCCGGAGTTCAGGATCATTTTTAAAAATTGATAATCACAAAATCTTAATTTTTAAAAGCCACAATATGAACAATATGCTCTATAACGCTGAGCAAAGAGATGTGCACACGGCCAGGGCTCCAGCTAGAAGTTTCTGTGTGGACAGTGATCCCCACCCTGAGCCTCCTGAAGCCTTCATTCATTCACTCAGCAATTACTAACCAAATGCCTGGCCTGCTCCATGTACCCCACCAAGCTCAGGAAAGACGCACATTCTCTGCATTCACGGAGTGTAAGGTCTGGAGGGAAGTGGATATTAATCTAGAAGCCATGCAAATAAGTGACAAATGTAAATTCCAAGCTGTGGTGCGTGCTATAGGGGAAAGATGCAATGAGAGTGTGGGGTGGGGGGCTGATCCAGTCTCGGGGCCAGTCCACCTCTGCAGCCTGAGCCAGCAGAGAGGGCACTGGCCACAGAGGATGAGCAGAGAGAGTGAGATGGACAGCAGAGGGGGTGCAGGCCTGAGGAGCGGGCTCCTGCCAAGGCAGAACCCAGAGAACACAGAGTAGAAGCCCCAAGGACAGGTGGGAGCATGTGAGATCCACACCCCAGACAGTCTGACACCTGGGACAGACCTGCTAGCTGCTGGCCAGAGCTGGGTGACAGACCACACCTAGCAAGGAGGAGAAAAGTCCCCTGCGAGCTGGCTCAGTGGAAAATGTCTTGCTGAGCCTCTGCCTCCTGGGAGGACTCACCTGCTCTGGACCATCTGCCCCCCATATCCTGACCCTAGAGAGCTGTGGGTGGGCCTGACATTTTCCTCAGGGCCTGAGAAAAGAGCCATCACTACCTCCCTCTCCCCATTTTCTTGGCAGGATTTTTGCTCCTAAGTCCTCAGGAGCAGAGAGAAGAGAAACCTTTAAAGAGCATCTGTGTGTTTCTTATTGGTTTCGTTGTTGCTGTTAGTGTTGATCTAGGTTCCTAAGGCTCTTGGGACAAGGTGGTCTGTTAGAAAGAAGAGTGAGAGCCTTCCTTTGAGTGTTTGAAATTCAAACTCGATTCTGTGCCCAGATTACAGAGGACAGCAGAAGCTCCCAGGGGTGTGGCGAACACAGCAGCTCCAGTGACTCTCTTCCGGGGAGAGGTGGGAAGCTCTAGTTTTCCCTGGTTCCAGGCCCGTCGAGGAGGCTGGGCTGCCTTCTCCTACACCCAGAAGGGTGGGAGGTCAATGCACTGCGCGGAACATAAACCCTCAAAGTGCCTCGAGAAAACAGGTCAAAAGACACATTTGCAGAGAAAGTGAATCGCTCCTTTCGGGATGACAGGAGTGAAGAAAGCGTTGGCCTTTTCCTGGCAGCTGATGGCCCTTGGTGATTACGTGTGTCACTTGATTTGCTCAGAGACACTCTCCTAAGAGCACTACCAGCACCTCCCTGCCCTCCCGAAGGCCCAGGTGGCTCCCGATAATGTTTGGGTTGAGATCTTTCGTGGAATTTTAACAGGGGAGTTTATTCTGAGAGCTTGAACGATATTAACCCACTGGGAGCTGGGAAACGCAGACAGTAGGATGGAAGGATGAGGGCAGGGAAAGAGAAAGGCGGACTTGTTCCCAGACCTGGCTGAGCATCAGCAGCACCTGGAGTAAGGGATACAAACACTGGTCCTCAGGCTCCATCACTAGAGAGTCTCACTCAGCAGGTCTGGAGATGGGCCCGGGAGTCTGCATTTTTATCATACACCCCAAGGCTGTGCAAAGGCTGCCCAATGGCATTTGAGAGCCTCTGAGTTCCCATATCTCCTTAAATGACCCAAGAGGTGGCATTTTACATGAAAGAGCAGAGGCCCAGGTTCCTACCTGCTTTGGGTCCTGTGACCTTGTTCAAATAATTTATTCTGAGTCCCAACTTTTCCACCAATTTTTTGAAGGGGAGGGGGTATTACAATACCTAATTCACAGAGTCCTGAGGACGATGCAATGAGATTAAATGATTTGAAAGCACCTAGCATACAACCTGCTCATTACCTCATTTCTGCCCCTCTCTCCCTCCCCACTTACCTCCCTTTCCCTCTAATATCACTCTCAAAACCTCTCCATGGCCTTCCCACTATGGAGCTACCAAAGCCACTGGAAATTCCGGGGCACCATGTCAGCCACCCTGAGAGCTAGTAAAAGCGCCTTCATGCCCTCACTCCAGCTGATAGGTTCCGGCCCTCGGCTTCCCAGTCTCTCATGTCAACAAGCCCAGAGCCAGAGTCATCTTCCCACTGAGGGCAAAGAAGGCACAACTGAGTGGAAACAGCCATTCCCTCACCCCCAGACTTCTTCCCCACCTCCACCTCCCCATCAAACCCAGAGCAGAGGTGTTGACCCTTCTCAAACATCCAACCTCACAGGCAAATCCAGATGGTTCCCTACTTACCAACACCTGACTTGAAAACAATTGTGAATTCAAACGGTGGCCACTTCTAGAATTAATAACATAATTTCCCATTTTATCATGGTTTACAACTTCTGGAGTAATCATAACAATAACAGCATATGTTATTATTGAGCACCTACCATGGGCCATGCACCATCCAAAGGACCTTAAACGTACTCATTCATTTTATGCCCACAGCCCTCTCCTGGGAGGAAGCAATTCACATTTTTACATGAGGAAACTGAGGCACAGAGGGGTTAAGTCACTTAACTACGGTCACATGACAGAAGCTGCAGAAGCCAGGATGCAAACCCAGGTCTACCTGTATTTTTAAAATAATGCTTTAGCCATGCAGATTCTAAGACCTCAGGGGACAGAAGAATCACCTGGCAGGGTTTAGAAAACACAAGTTTCTGATTCGGTAAGTCTGGGTGCAGGCCAAGAATGAATTTCTGGCAAGTTCCCAGGAGTTGCTGATGCTGATCCAGGGACGCTACTTTGAGAATCACTAGCGTTGAGCACTTAACCCTAGATTGCACGTTCCAACCATCTGGAAGATTTTTATCACTACCAACATCTAGACCCCTCATTCCAATTCTGAACTTTTCAACTAAGAGCGTTATTGAGATATAAGTCAAATACCATAGAGTTTACCCTTTTAGATTGTACACTTCAGTGGTGTTCAGTGTAATTCACAAAGTTAAAAAAATTCATCAAAAAACACTTTCATCACCCCAAAAAGAACTGTCCCATAGCCACAGGCAATCACTTCCTGTTTCGCTTCAACTCTAATCCTACACAACCACTAATCTACTTTCTGCCTCTGTATATTTGCCTATTCTGGACATTTCATATAAATGGAATCATATAATATGTGGTTTTTTGTGACTGGCTTCTTTTCACTTAGCGTAATGTTTCCAAGGTTCATCCATGGTGCAGCCTGAGTCAGAACTCCATTCCTTTTATGCCTGAATCAGATCCCATTGCATTCACATTTCTTGTATCCTTTTATCAGTTGATGGGCTTTGGGTTTTTCCACGTTTTATCAACTCTGAATAATGTTGCTGTGAACACCTGCGTACATGTTTGTGTGAGGATCCAAATTCTGATTGAGTTGCATCTGGGGTGGGGTCCACAGTACAGGTATCTTTCAAAAGCTCCGCAGTGATTTTAATGTGCAGGCAGGGCTGAGAACCTCTGACTCAGAACCTCATTCCTCAAGGTGTGGTCCATGGACCTGCAGCCCAGCATCACCAGGGAACTTACCAGAAATATGGATTCTTGTGCCCCACCCAGACCTCCTGAGTCAGAAGCCACATTCCAACAGGATCTCCAGGTGATCTGTGTGCTCATCAGAGTGTGAGAGGTTCCCAGAGCTACTCCGGGGCCTCATCTACCAAGTGTAATATTGTTTCTTCTGACAAAATGCACAGCAGAATCTGAACAAGAAATTCATTAGGGACTGACTGCCTTTATCCCCTGCACATGTGCCAAACAAAACTGGGGACAGAGAGTCTCATTTGAACCTCCACTGTGTCCCCAGGGCCCATCACGGTGCACGGCATAGAGCAGGTGTGGGATACAGACTTGTCAAATGGAAACACCAGTGAGCCGCTTAACCCTTGGTGGGTCCAGTGCACCTTCAGGAAACCAGCTCAGCTCCCAGTAGCAATGGTGAGCTCTGGTGCTCTGGGAGTGGAGCACCTAGAAAACACGTGGCACAGAGGAAGCTCTGAAACAGTGACTAAATCTGTGTCCGGGATCCCATGGAGCTTGAGGCAGGAGGGAAAATCAGAGTTTCTGCTTCTGGGCTCTGTTCCCAGGCAGCAGAGCTGAGAGGCAGGGCTTGCAAACCTGCTCGGTGGCCCTGGACCAGCTGACAACTAGCAAGCAGCACATTCATGGGTTAAAAGCACACTTGGGAATACTTTGCCACCAGGCCTCCCCGTTCTCATAGCAGGTGAAGTGAAAAGGAGGGATGAACCACCCCCACCCCAGGAGACAAAATCGGGGCCTTGCTCTGCCAGCTGAAACCAGAGGGACAGGGCTGGGAGCAGGACAGGACCTCTGCCCAGGAAAGGGATGGTGCCATGGAGGAAGCAGGCACCCACCCTGAGGTTAACAGAACCAGAGCCCTTCAGAATCAAACGGACTGGGCTCTGCAACCAACTGGCACTCAAAAAACTTTCATTGTTAGTGGAGGGGGCAATAGTGGCAGTCACAGCAGTAGCTGCCATTTATCAATGATCCATGTGCCTGGCAGAACTAAACACTGCAAGGCAGGTATTACCAATCACCTTTTACAAATGAAAAGCAAAGATCAGGCTCAGAGTTCAAGTGCTCTGTTTCAGGTCACACTGCTAGGAAGAGACAGAGTTAAGATTCAAACCCAAGCCTGTTTGCTTCCAAAGCCCACGCTCATTAACACCTGGCTACAGCGAGACAAGCAAAGCATGCCTGAGTCCCAGCCTGCGGCTAGAGACTTGTCCGAGGTCACACAGCTGGCTCAGAACAAGCAGTATCTTTCCTTCTTCCTAAGGAACAGGGATGGTTATGGGATACTGGAAGAACAAAAGGTTCTGGAAAATCTCAGGTCAGCACAAATATCAGGGATTAGAAGTCCTAGTAAGAGAGAGGGGGTAGCTGGGCCTAACAATAGCAGAAGTGCTGATGCAAAGACTCGGTCAATTCTGTTCAGTGCCACTGTGCTCACAGCTACTCTCCCCGGGTCACCTGAACCATTCACAGACAACTAGAAGTGACTTCTCTGACACGCCTAGTTGTCCCATTCAATGACAGAATTATCAGACGGACCTCACTGCTGATGCCAGCCAATGACCGTGCCTCAAAATGTGCAAAACAGATCCCCCAGATTGCAGTTTCTTCTCTCCTTCCTTCTCTCTTCTCTGTTCTGTTCTGGTTTTGCCCTTATTTGACTCCATTTACCAGCTGACTCCCTAACACATGATAAAACAGCATGCGTGCAAAAGAGCCAATTAATGTCCTAGTTATTCCTTGATAGAGATCCCATGATTGCACTAAAGGATCTTCAAGGCCCTGCTGCTTCCAAGTGGGACTCACTGACTTGGCTCTAAAGGCCCGAGTGTTGGCTGTTCTCCTCTGCTACACCTTCCCCTACCCCCTAAACTTGTCCGTGGGTCAATGGCAATCAACCCCACCTAGCACTCCTCTGGCACCTCTTTCATGATGGCTGAGCCCTCTGTATCCAGCCCCAAGATCTCCTGGCCCCTCATCACCTCCCTCTCTACTTCATTCACCACCCTCTGCTCTAGCCTTGTGTAATTGTTTGTCCTCTCAATGTATGTCCTACACTTTCCACCTTTGTCCCTTATTCAGAATGTCCCTCCTCCACCTGGAAGAGCCTTCTTCTACCTCCCAGCTCCCCCCACAGTAAGACTCACCCCCTACCTGGACTCCCCTCTAGCATTTTATTTTCATTTCCCTTTTAGTCTCTATCATGAACTACAAATCTCCTAGCATAGCACCCATGCTTATCAATTTGATCCAGTAATTCCTTTTCGAATGCCTGGGGTCTCTGTGAAATACAAAGATAAACAGAACCTAGTTCTTACCCTCAGAGAAATCATAGCTAATACAGATATAAAAACCAACAATAAAATGTCATGATATATCTTGTTTTGCTTCAAGACTATCTACTAACTCCCTCATTTGCAAGAAAATATTCATTCAAAATCAATAACTAAAGGTTTCTCAATTATTATTTGACAGGAACCAGATGATTTCATTAACAGAGGAATAGAGGAGTTCCAAAAACTTAAAAACAGCCTGTCAGTTTCTCAAAAAGTTAAATATAAGATTACCCTATGACCCCAAATTACACTCTCAGGTATAAACCTAAGAGAACTGTCCACAGAAAAAAAATTATATGGATATTCATAACAGCATTACTCATAATACCTAAAAAGAGGAAACAACCCAAATGTCCATCAACTGATGACTGAATAAACAATATCTAAACAGTGGGATATTATTCAGCCATAAGGAGAAATGAAGTGCTGATACACACAACACCATGAGTAAACCCTGAAAACATCACCTAAGGAAAAGAAATTGGGCACAAAGGCCACATAATCTTATGATTCCATTTACAGGAAATGTGCAGAATAGGTAAATCCATACACATAGAAAGCAGATTAGTGATTACCAAGGTCCAGGGAGAGGAGGACATGGGGAGTGACTGCAAATGAATACAGGGTTTCTTTTGGTATGTATTATCTCAATTTTAAAGTAATATTTTTAAAAACAAAACGTGTAGACTCCAACTAAAGACTGAGAGGGCCAATGCCTTTGCATTTCTAGCCTCTCACGTGTTTGGAGAGGTCTAGACATGCTGATTTTTCAAAGGCCATTGGTACTCTTTCTTAACATCCCCAAACACTGCAAGGAGCACACAGATGCCCTGAGGTGGTGATGACT